ACCACACGCCGTCCTCAGGGGTATCAGCAGTGAGCAAAAAACTGTCCGGGTGGTAAATTTATACCTTAAGCTCATAAGCTTTATTGTAATCACCTGTGATTGTGTCTAAATTGCTCCGGTCCTCCTGTGAATGGGGCTGTGGGGGTGTGGTGTAACACACCATAGTGTCAGCCCACATTTCTATGTCAGAGGTAGCCAGAACAGAAATCAGGTGAAAGGCAATTAACCCTTTGAGTGCCACGCCCGGAACAGATATAAATGGATACTTACTATATCTAAAAGGCAGTATCCATAGCTTAACAGTTAACCCTTGGAATGTCCAAATTGTATCATATAGGTCAAGTGTGTGGATTGATTCTTATGGCTGTATTGTGTAGCTTTAGTACAATTAAAGAAACAACTTATAACCGCTGTGAACCAGTAAGGGATAAGTACAATGGCTATATGGGCAGTCATACACAGAAGCCGACAATTCTTTTATTGCCACTGTAAATAGTAACCCATTAGTTTATGCAACACAAAACAGACCCCTAAACTCTTAGACCTATAATACAGGTAAAATTAATGGACATATGAACACCAAATATAATAGAAATAAATAAAGAATATATACATATATACAGACATAACTTAAGATACCATTTATTATCAGAATTATTGCAGTACTTTAAATAAACGGGGAATATGAAAACCCTTCATTTAGCCCCAGGGGAGATAGCGTTTTGAGATGGTAAATCCAAAACGCCTCTCTTTGTCTTAGTTTTAGGTCCCAGTTTCCTTTCCTAGGAGGCTGTGGTACATGTTCAAGACCCATGAACCGGATGCCTGCCGAGGAGTGATTGTGATGTAGATGTAAATGCCTTGAGACGGGTGTTTCCAAACGTCTCTTGACAGAATTTACATGTTCACGTATCCTTAGCCTGAAGTGGCGAAAAGTCTTGCCTACATATTTTAGGCCACAGGAGCAAGACAGTAGGTAAACTACTCCTGTTGTGTTACAATTAAAGAAGGAACGTGGTTTGAAATTCATTAAGCCCTTGCTGTCAGAGGCCCTCTTGGTAATAAACGGGCATGCACTGCAGTGACCACATTGGAAAGAACCCATTGGTAGGTATTTTTGAAAATAACCTGACGGGGACGTAGTTGAGAGGTGACTAGGTGCTAGGATATCTCTCAAGTTTTTGCCCCTCCGTGCTGTAATTGAAGGGAGTGATGGCAGAATTTCCTTCAGATGCTTATCTGATTGGAGGATAGGCCAGAATTTTTGAAAGACATTCAGCATAGTGTCCCATCCTGCATCATATGTACCTATGCAGCGTATTTTATTTTCCTCAGTCTTACGACCCCCATCTGTAATTAGGGTTTCCCGTTCAGTGTGGATTGCCCTCAGATAGGCTCTTTTTAGAACCCTATTTGGGTAACCTTTGGCCTTAAACATGTGACGCAGCTCATTTGCTTTTAATTTGAACTCCTCCATCGTGGAGCAGTTTCGTCGAAGTCTCAAATATTGGCCTATTGGGATACCGGATTTGAGTGATATGGGGTGATGACTAGACCAGCATAGCAGGTTATTTGAGGCTGTCTTCTTTCTGTACAAGGTTGTTTCAATTTTGCCTTCTTTAGATACCTGTAGTGCTAGATCTAGAAAGCAAAGGTTTTGACCCCCTACTTCACTAGTGAATCGTAAGTTAAAATCGTTGCTGTTCAGCAGACATACAAATTCTTTGAATATCTCTGATGTATCAAGCCAAATCAAAAACACATCATCGATGTATCTTTTCCAATAGAAGATCTGATTAGTGTATGATTTCAGCTTAGGATCTGCCCTAATACACCTTTCCCACCAGCCTAGATGGAGATTGGCATATGAGGGCGCACAAGTCGTCCCCATAGCTGTACCAGTGGTCTGGTGGAAGATTTTGCCATTGAACAGAAAGATATTACGAGTCAAAATGAATTCAAGTAATTCCATTACAAAATTCACATAATGTTCAGGTAGGTCAGTTTCAAGATTTAATAGTTGACGGGTATGTTTAATACCTAGGTTATGAGGAATTGAGCTGTAAAGGGCCTCCACGTCAAGGCTACACAGGATAGCGTTTGGAGGTAAAGTAAGGTTGGTCAATAAATGCAACATTTGTTTAGTATCTCTAAGGAAAGATGGTAGCTTCTGTACTACTGGGGACAGAATCTTATCCACATAAATGCTTACATTCTGAGTTAGATTATCACAACCAGAAACTATCGGCCTACCGGTCGGATCGGTTAGTGATTTGTGCACTTTAGGCAAGCAATAAAAAGTAGATAGACATGGTTGTTTGGTGCACATAAATTCAAACTCATCCTGATTAATGAGTTGATGATTCACAGCCTTAGTAAGCATAGTTTTTAACTCAGCTTGGAACGCTTTTGTAGGATCTTTTGCTAGTATGCGGTAAGTATTTTTATCGGATAAAAGTCTTTCAGCTATACGAATGTAGTGGTCTCTGTCAAGTATCACCACATTGCCCCCTTTATCAGAGGGTTTGAAAATCAAATTTGTATAGCTCTGTAGTTTTTTCAGGGCTATTAGTTCCTGAGTATTAAGGTTGCCATTAGGGGATAGATAAAAATCATCCATTTTTGTCTTATCTATTTCCCTAGTAACCATTTCCAAAAATACCTCCAAATTTTTATAATCCTGAAAATGAGGGGTAAACCCGGACAGTTTTTTGCTCACTGCTGATACCCCTGAGGACGGCGTGTGGTCACGCCGAAACGTACGTCGGGTTCTTCTGTGTTTTTAATACTCTCTTGAGCACTTTGCTCTGAGCACCTTTTCATTTATGTTTTTCTAGTATGTGTGTGTACCTGGGGCTTCAGATGTTATGACAGCATTTAGATTAGAACACCCACGAAGGTGTTTTATAGGAGATAGGGTATTAGCATAGCACTACTGTTTGGTTGGGAGTGTGTGTTTCTCCCTTTCCCTGTTCTTTCCTACTGCTTTGTTACCTGAGTTATGTATGGGGGTACATATTGCCTTCTATCCCCTCTCCGTTTCTTGTGAGGGTTGGCTCTTGATTAGCCTTGTTCCTACCATACATATTTCTCCCTATATTATTCTGTCCATCACTGATTACCCAGGTTTTTTAATAGATTTCAATAAAGGCTTTTTTATTTTTTGGCAACTACACTACTGTTGAGATTGGACTGGGTATTTACCCTCTGGGCGGTCTTTATATAAGACATCCCTTTTTGGGTTTTTTTTCTTCCTTTTTTCTATAACTAGCGACTAGCCTGTGATTGGACAGCAAAATGTCTGTGATGTCAGGATGGGGCATGGAAGTCAGAGCTGGGAGCTTCACAGTTTGCTTCCAGGTAAATAAACCTATTCGCAGTGCAGGAAAAAAAAAATAAAAACCGCAAAAAGGGTAGGAGGAACTCTTTAACCCCTTAAGGACTGAGCCAAATGTACACGTTGTGAACGAAACAAAACCTGGCATTTGCGCTACATGTCTGTCCAACCGTAATTCACCTCTTTCATATTAAATGCACCCACCCTTATTATATATCATTTTATTCAGGGGAAACAGGGCTTTCATTTAATATCAAATATTTAGCTATGAAACAATTTAATATGAAAAAAAATGGGAGAAAATCCGAATTTTTTAAATTCTACATGACATTTTAACTGTCAATGTCTTAATACTGTTTGCTTTTTCAGCAATAAAATACACATATTTGTATTCAGCAAAGTCTCGCGTGTAAAACAGTACCCCCTATGTACAGGTCTTATGGTGTTTTGGGAAGTTACAGGGTCAAATATAGCATGTTACATTTGAAATTGAAATTTGCCAGATTGGCTACGTTGCCTTTGAGACTGTATAGTAACCCAGGAATTAAATTTACACCCATAATGGCATACCATTTGCAATAGTAGACAACCCAAGGTATTGCAAATGGGGTATGTCCAGTCTTTTTTAGTAGCCATTTGGTCACAAACACTGGCCAAAGTTAGCGTTAGTATTTGTTTGTGTGTGAAAAATGCAAAAAACGCCAATTTTGGCCAGTGTTTGTGACTAAGTGGCTACTAAAAAAGACTGGACATACCCTGTTTGCAATACCTTGGGTTGTCTACTATTGCAAATGGTATGCCATCATAGAGGTAATTTTCATTCTTGGGCTACCATAGGGTCTCAAAGGCAACGTAACCAATCTGGCGAATTTTAATGTGAAAAAAATGAAACAAAAGCCTTATATTTGACGCTGTAACTTTTGAAAACACCATAAAACCTGTACATGAGGGGTACTGTTGTACTCGGGAGACTTCGCTGAACACAAATATTTGTGTTTCAAAACAGTAAAAAGTATCACAGCAATAATATCGTCCGTGTAAGTGCTGTTTGTGCATGAAAAATGCAAAAAACTGCACTTTTACTGGCGATATCATCGTTGTAATACATTTTACTGTTTTGAAACACTAATATTTGTGTTCAGCGAAGTCTCCCGAGTAGAACAGTACCCCCCATGTACAGGTTTTATGGTGTCTTGGAAAGTTATAGGGTTAAATATAGTGCTAGCAAATTAAATTCCCTTTACTTTCGGCATGGTTTGTCAGGCAGGTCCCGCTAATTGTAATTAATTAAGATACCCAATTATGTTAAAATATTACATAAATATATATGTAGAATATATATGTGAAGCTATATGTGTATATATATAATTTTTGAATATTTTTATTTATATATAGTGATATATACGTATATATTTATGTATGTAGATATATATTATTTTGTTCTATGTGTATTTTGATTTAAATATATATTAATATCACAATACAGTTAGAACGAAACACATCTATATATTTTTTTAATTTTATTTTTTAACGTATTTACAATTTTTTATATTATATATAAATATAACAATAATTATATATATTTAATCAGTATCAGTCTACGTGTAATTTGATATATATATATATATATATATATATATATATATATAAATAAAAAATACACCTAGACGGGGGGTGCGTGTGTATATATTATATATATGATCTAAGTATATATTTTTATTTTTTTACACTTAATTTGATTTGATTTTCAGCCAGCAAGGGGACCACCTGTCATTACATGCAGCCCCCCCTGCTGGCAATGCAGGAGGCAGCCTACCCGGCCATGTAATTGTGAGGTCCTCGCAAGGACCTCACTCTCGCATGGCCGGGGGGGCTGCCAGGAGGAAGATCTGCTGTGGGGGGGCTCCCTGGGAGTCCACCCCACCGCAATCGCCGGCGTCGGACCGCCGGCGACCGGCTAAGTAAGAAAAGACCGGAGGGCATACAATTACGCCAGGCGGCGTTTAGAGCCGCCTAAAATAGGGCGTAATTGTACGCCCTCCGGTCTTAAGGGGTTAAACACTTAACCCCTTAAGGGCACATGACGTGTGACATGTCATGATTCCCTTTTATTCCAGAAGTTTGGTCCTTAAGGGGTTAAAGGGCTTCTATAATCTTGGAAAACTATACCCATGTAGATCAGTTTGTATGCTGCTAATTTTACTGAAATTAAAAATCTTCGCTATTAACTTTTGATTGCTTTGGATTCCATTCTTCGCTACGCATATGGGAGCAGGCAAAATATTTCCTGGCTCCAACATTCACTATAACTAATGTATCTAGTTTATTTAGAACCTGAAACTGCCAAAAACAGTCATAGAACCAAATAACTACTACCAGTTAAGTTCTAATAACTACACTGAACATTGCACACAGCTGTGTGACATCCCACAATTCCATTCAAGTAAACTAGGATGCTACAGCTGCATTTTTGGCACAGGCACATGTATGTGTAGCCACTCACATTATTATTATTATTTATATAGCGCCATCAAATTCCGTAGCGCTGTACAATGGGTATATCCACTGTGGTAACCTAATTGGAGGTGGAGGCCATTTTTTTCCAACAATATCTTAACCTACACACTGGCTGGAGATTCCACTATCATAATGTAAAGATTAGAAGGTATAAACAGCTCAATTTAAAATGGTCAGTTTCAAGCCCTCGGACTTCCTGTATAATGGATACTGCTTCCAACATCACATTCTAAAATATCAGGCAACGCCTGCATAGCACAATTAGAGTGGGTTCATTAAAAGGAGTTTATACTGGGTTATTCAATAAAGTCTGAATAGTCAGGAATGCAAAGTGAATTTGATAGGTTAGGCCACAATAACCAAAACGGAATAATACTATGGGGCCTAAAATTCAAAACGCACTTTTATTTCCTGACAGTTTATACTCGAGTGAATAAACCTGTAGTGGAGATGTAAGTGGTCAAACACGTGTAATAGGGTTTAAAAAAAAAATTAAAAAAATAAAAAAAATAAAAAAAAAAAACACACCAAACCCATGATTTCTGTTTTTCATTATTTTTTACTTTAAATTCCATCTTAATCCCACAAAGTTGCAATCTGAATGGAGGTGGATACAGTCCGCTATAATGCTGGTTCAGTACACTAAAATGTGCATAAAGTCGACTTGTTGGTTTAATATTTTTCTGCCAGCCAGAACAGTTCACTCTCTGTTTTGTGTGGAAGTACAAAAAGCTATTCTTCATTAGTTGAACCAGAGCACCTTGAGCTGCTAAACACCAATCCAGGGCATCACGGATTGGCCGGGTAAAAACCAGCGATGGGGAGTGTTTAGATTTCATGGTTTTGAAGCCAATGATGGATCAGTTTGAGATACTTGGAACAAGAGTTAATAATTAGTAAAAAGAAGTGCTCTTTTGTAAGCTCTTCAAAAGAAGACTAAAAAGGCACAACTTCATTAAGGAGACACGCAACGTCCATTCAAGGTCGCAGATGAAGGAATAAAATAGAACCTTTGGTGGGTTTTTTGGACTCTGATCGAGAAGAACGGTCACTGCTAGTTGAGACGAGGCTGTAAAATGATGCAAATAAAAATATAAGTCATCAAAAATAAACAGATTTATTCATAAACCTTCCAACTCAACAAGATCATTGAGGACAAACAATCTCCAACTACTGTTGAACTATTTTGCCCTTGATCCTTTTACAGTTATAAGCAGACAAAGGATAATGTGATCCCTAGTTCGGAGGATAGCACTACAGCTATCCCTGGAACTAGAATTATAGATTCCAAAAACACACAGCTTTACTATTGAGAACGTTACGGAAACCATTTGACTAAGCTAATTTGTGGTTACAAAATGGCTGAATTTGCAGTTCTATTTGAAAGACTTGAAAAAGCCACTGTGAAAACAAACTCATCTCCGGTTAAATATGGTGTTACAACTGTATTGTGTGTTTTTTTCACCTAAGGAACATGGGACACAGCACCCAGCTTATCCTTTATTTGGATTTTAGTTACTCCCCAATGCTTTTACCTATTGCTGACAAAACATGCCAAGACTTGGACTGTTGGCACACTTGGCATTTGGAAGGGTGGGTTAAAAACAAAGACTCACACCATGCTTTCTTCCAGTTTTTCTTTGAATAAGAATAAAAACCACTTCAAAACCATCCCAAAAAATAAAAATATATACACACTCAAAATACTGTCCTATATGGAACTCACCGCAGAATTTACGGGACTACTCCTCCAGGGGGAAAATTTCTTCAGTACAAAAGAACTCAATTGTCTCCTCCTCCCAGTCTTCTATGTTGCTGTCCAGCTCGTCTGTATCCACCCCTAGTAGTGTGGAAAGAGAATAATTAACACACGGATTTAATTTCCTTAAAGAATCATTCTCTAAGGGCTCAAAAACTCCAGCCATATGTATAGCCTGAATCGAAAAGCAAGACATCAGTTTAGCACTAGCACTGCTCCATTAGGACACCTATTTGAAGGCTTTCATAAATAAAGTTATTTTGACAAAGTACATGGATCGTAATTAAAAGTTCCACCGATTTTGGACTGCTACAGGTCTATTTCTGCAGCAAATAAGGTGTTCATAACTACAGAAAAAAACATTTAAACAAGATAGAAATGCAAGAAAGCAGCATCATTAGAATATCAGGGAAGCACGGTTTGAATGCATGCTGTGACCGACAGCTATGATAAGCTACAATGGGGACACCCAGATAAACAGGAAATTAACCACGCCTTCCTTGTGTGCTATACAACAAATGCAGTGTATAGAGAAATTCCAATTCTCATTAAAGGAATAACCTCTCTATTGAATGAAGCACAGATTAAATGTTACCTCGTAGCTCCAGACGTGCCGCTTTCTGATCCAAGTAAAGCTTCTGTGCCATCTCCCGATAACTCTTATACTCATCCATCATGGTCTTTCTACGTTCCACAAGTTCCTTTAGAAGGCAAAGAATACAAAATGTTAAAACTGTTCGGAAAACAAAACAAGCATACTGTAACCGTGTGTGGTTCCCTTATTTACCACTATAATGTCTTAAATAGTGTCGTAGAATAGCCTTGAAGCTTGTTTATGCATTATTGTTATTGCAATTCGTCTGGGACAAAATGGCGCATACATATTATGCACTGAGGTTATTGCTTAAAGAAACATCTATGAAAAACAATATGTTCCATTTCTAACACCTTGTCAGTTTGCAATATCTCTTAATGACAAAGTACACAGTTTAAGAAATACAACATTTCATTCTAAAACTTGTAATATTTGCATTTGCCCGTAACAATACTATTCATTTTGCATAAGTCACTAGAGGGCAGTATACCAAAAAAAAAAAAAAAAAAGTTCTGACCTTACAACACCTAACTGAGAATAAGTAAATGGGGTAGGGAAAAAATGTGCAAAACTACTGATTGCTTACCTTTGAGGCCTTGGACTGACTTAGACGATCCTTCTGCTCAAATATCTTTGAGTATTTCTTCAAATCCTTTTTGATTGTCTAGAAAAAAATTTTTACACAACAATTAATACAACCTTTAGCTGGATGATATTCAAACCAGAAGAAACTAGATTGAATAAAAATTAGAAGCACTGCATACTTTTATTTCATCTGGGTTAAGCAAAGTCGGGGGTCTTGGTCTCCAGAGAAGTTGGCAAAACCTATCTTTGCTGTTCTTCTGAAGCAGACGGCCCTGGAAGGTCCATAGCCAATAAGCATTATCCACCTAAACAGAGAGAAATCAAAACGTTATTCAGTACAAACCTCAGACCTGCATAACAGAAACCGTACATATAAGCATTCATGCATACTAAGTGGATATAAAGCCAGGTAAACCCCCCCCCCATCCGAGCTGGGTTTAATGACACAAATCGCAAGAGTTAGGTTGACGTCATGGGCTACTAATCACTTACTCTACAGATTAGAACTTCAACTTATAGGACACTACCAAAAAGTCTAAATGTCAATTTATCAGGGCTCTTGGCTAAAATACGAATTCAAAGTGAATTTCAAGTTTAAGGCCAGAGTAGCCAAACTGACATAGAATTTCAGATACTTTTATCTTAAATTTGATAATTACTTTGAATTTTCAATTAGTGAATAACCCTGTAAAAATAATAATAATAATAATAAAAAAAATAAAAAAAAACACTATGTATCTCACTGGCCTCCCACCAAACAAGGAGGCAGGTTCAATTTGGGGATGGGCAATAGAAACCAATGAAGCTAAAGGGGATGGAACAATTGCATTAGCTGCAAAAAAGTAGTAAGAACTGGGTTCTGCAATGCTTAGCTAAAAAGAGGGGATATCCAAGAGAATTTTCCATCTCAAGAATGAGTTGGCTTTCATTTCCAGCCATTGTATTTTAACAAAGCTTGTAATAACAGAACTCTGAAATGTCCAATTAGAATGACATTTAACTCTCCCTTATCTTACACAGCAGTCCATAAAAATTAATCGTAAAAAATTAGCATAGCACAACCTATACACTGTAATAGAAATTAGTTATTTCCTTAAGGACACATGACATGTGTGACATGTCATGATTCCCTTTTATTCCTGAAGTTTGGTCCTTAAGGGGTTAAGCGTACTTCAGCAAACAGGATGTGAATTTGCACATTGACAGTACTAACCATCACGCAAAGCATTCTGGGATCAATGTACATTCTGAGACTAAGTAAAACAATTGAGGAAGTTGAAATAAGATTTAGAAAGCAAAGTTTTGTAGGTCTTACTTTGTGGCTCCACCATGACACAGATGTCACTACGTAACGACCCGTTGGATCCCATTCCACATCGGAAGCTGTATAGTGCTCGGCAACGTTCATTATGGTGCAGTCGGAGGTGTCCACAAAGGCTAAAGCACCATTCATGCTGGAATATAAGAACACTTTGATTAATTGTGCAACATAAAAGCTTTCACACTTCCTAGGTTTTATTTCAAATCCAACTGTACACAGTTATAATAGTGTGCTTACCTTCGCAAACCAGCCAAAACTAAGAACTGACCCTGTGGACTCCAGAAAATTGAATTAGCCTGCTGCTTGTCATAAGTTTCTGGTGTGATAAAAAAAAAAAAAAAAAAAATAATAATAATAATATTAAACTTTCTGCACCCCAAAGAGGGAAAAAAAGTTTGGTATATAAACAGGATTAATAAATGTTACAAAAAAATCCTTACTGATGAGATCAATCTTGCCGTTGTTTTTCACATAGTAAAAAGACACGGATATTCTTGGGACCTCTCCATGCAGTACAGCAAACTTGCTTCCATTTGGTTCCCACGCAAAAGCGATGATGCAATCTAACAAGACAAACCATTTATGAAACAAAAGCTAAACTGCTGAAAATCATGAAAAGTTAAGTTCACTCAGAGAAAATAAGCAAAAAGTATCTTTAAGCTTCTAGCTACATTAAAGCACAATGAAGGCTAATTTCTTTAGGTTACAGAGCAAACAACTATGTTCCAAACTCTGGTAGAAAGGATCCAAAAGCATTTTGACAGATAACTGAAATAATACTCAAATATACCAAAGAAATAAGTAAATTAAATTACTTAAGCATTTGGTTGGATATTGCAGTCAAAGACAACAAAGTTAGGTACTTGCCTTTCATTTCTACCACATCGACAGGGACCTGCTTCTCTCTCATTCTGAAGATTTCGAAATTTGTTACTACGCCCTGTTAACAAAAAGATGGAATCAGTAAATATTTCTCTAAAAATGTTCCATACAAAAACAAGTTTTAACTACATTATTGTACCAAGGAGAACAAAAACAAAACAGGCTGCTTTTTACCTGTGTGCCTTTGGGTGTTCTGTCGACCTTGACGCAGAGATAATCTCCGTTCTTTTGCCAGTGGAGCTTACAATCCACAACATTAAAGAGATTCCTCACTCTGATCTCTTGTCTGGAAGGAAGCTGCATCAAGGTCACTCTGGCAGGTATATCTTTATCTTCAGGTACCCAGAAGGCAATGATATTACCACCAGGAGACCACGAGAAGTCCCTAATAAAACAAAAAGCATCCCAAAGTGTCACATAATTAGAAATGTGAACACAACTGTACAAAAAGTTAGTTGGAACTTATAGAATAGCTGCTTACTTTATTCCAGTAATTTTCAAACTCTTCTTATCCAGAAGACCCATAGACTGGAGGAAGAAAATAAAAAAATGCATAAGATGGCCAATAAATACTGTTTCACGTCAAAGAAGCATCCAAAAATTGAGAACTAGACTTATTCATAGCAAAGTTATCATTTAACAACATTATGCTTAAAATATGAAAAAATGGTGGCTACACGAAAGACTAAAGACGATGAGTGTCAGATCTTTATAGAAGTTGAAATGAGGCTTAAAGCAGATCTGTCACCACCTGGTGACTTTGCATAAATTCTAAACTGGGATACTTAAGTACAAACAGGTAAATTAAATATTAAGAAAACAAACAATATAGGGTGGTGACAGCTACTCAATAGATAACTTTGTGGGATGAATGGACTAAAACTAGGTTATTCACTTAATACTGAACTGTAGCAAATTAACATCTGAATGGCAGAAATTAGGCCACAACAGCTGATCTGGAAATATTATTTTTCCCCAAATCCGATATTCACAGATTGGCTATTTTATCCTCAATTTTGCAAACCAGATGTTATTGCATGTACAAAAGGGATAGCGCAAATGATTTCCACAGAGGACGGTAAAGATACTTAACACTATATACTCACTGGAGTTTCATAGATACTGAGTGTATCTAGTGTCATTCGGGCAAAGAATTTGCCATCGTGACTCCACCTGAAGAAAGATGAACATTTTGTTTAAAAACAAGAAATGGAAAAACAAAAAACAAACAAACATGAAATTTGTTATTATTGTAACATACTTAAATATAGGCCAATGTGCAGAGCTTTCACAATGGAATCCTCTCTTCTTTTGCCCTGTGAGTGTGTCCCAAATAATGATGGCTTGGGGGTCATCTTCGGTGTCCATTAGAGGGCTAAATGTAACCAGATATCTGAAGGACAAAAAGATTATAAGATTTCAGCACCCAAATAAACAGTTGGAATACTGTTTAGCCAAGACCTCTGGAGGCAAGGCAGGTGTTAGACAGGCAGATAAACAAGTAGCACAGGGAAACATCTCTACACAATGTATTATACATACATCTAAATATAAAACACACAGAGCCCTCCTAGCACAGCATACAAACCTTTCACATGGTGAGAAGTCAATGAGTTGGACCCCTTGATGGCTGAACCTCTGTATTTGCTTGAATTTCTCCCCTCCCCACAAAGCAATCCCTCTCTGGTGAAACGTGGCCAGGTAGTTGCCTCTGGGAGACCAACGAACGTATGTTTCCGTCCAACGCTGTAGACAAGTGAGTTGGGTACAGTTAATTCGATTACTCAAAAGACAATTCCTTAGTTTGTAGCGGCACTTGTCAGCAGCAGATCTTTGCTAACAGTAAATAGACATTTTGCTAGACCCAGAGTACATTCTATTGTTATTACGCAAAGCAACAGTAAAAATACCTTATTAGCTTGCAAGTTAGGGCAGTTACACTTCAAATGATTGTCTCATATGTAGCTTTTTAGAACCATTAAAATTATATTACATGTACTTACAATGCTGGTGCCCTCTACTTATTAATCGATTGCTTTAGGGAAATTTGACTTAAAATAATGAGACTGGATGAGTGCAACCCTCACAAGCAAAGTAAAATATACCAGACATATATCCCTGATAATCTGGCACCCCTAAATGACAGGTTTACCAAGTTATATGCCTATTATTCATTAAATTCCCCTGGTAACCCTTGCGGTGTTTTTATTCCTTTAAGATGTGACTAGGTTGCTGAACTACTGCATTGTGAATTTAGATGCCTATTGAAGGTAGTTGCAATCAAATAAATCCTATTACAAGACTTTATGATGGCTGGTCACACAAATACAGCACGTGGATTTCCACCATATATCACATATAGTATACTATAAAAACCAGGTTACAAAGTTTCCTGAAATTTTCCACTTATAAAATAAATTACTTACCGCTCTCTCCTCAACTGGAACAGGCTCTTTCACATCATTCCAGAAGATGGTAGTTCGGTCTCCTGATTCGAATATAACACTGAATTGATCCCTACAGTCTGCATCTTCAAGCCATGAACGTAGGTTGCCCTAGCAAACAGATTACAACTGTAAATTTACTCAAGTATATCACAAATCAAGCTGGTGTTTTACATTTTAAAAGACATTTCTGCATTTTGTACAGACTGAATTGGTAGAAATGTTTAGATATTTTCAGATAAGTGTCCCCTTTAAAGTCTCAGTTGTGCATATGCCCCTTCTAACACACTAAGATCTGGGCTATTTTTATATTAGGACAGATCAGAAAGGATATCAGGTTGGGAGCAGGCACACAATGACATAGCAGTGTGCCAAAATTCCATAGAACTTTGACCTACGTCATCCACGCAGCAAAGAAATTAAAAATAAAAAATAAAAAAAAATAAAAAAAAATAAAAAAAAGGTCTTTCAAGCCAACAATAATGTGCAGTATACTTGCATGACACGTATAAAAAAAAAAAATATATATATACATATATATATATACATATATATATACACATATATATATATATACACACATACATATATATACACACACACACACACACTGAGTTAAACATAAAAAAGGGGAAGGCCAATAAGGCCGTTCAGCAATCCATTTTGTCTATCTACACCTCCCATTATGCTTTATCAGACTATCAGGCAGGCAAATCATGGGTCTTGTGTTCTACCTTCAGCCATAATTTATAGGATCATAAGTGTACAACACTCAGCAAGTCAACTCTGTGATATGTAAACCGCAGTAATTTTATCCTTGAAACTCTAGTATGAACCAAGCTTTCATACTTGTACACTTACAAAGTCTTTAAAAGGCTGCTTCTCAGGAACATCCCACTCATCACCAATGACCATATATCTGTAATAGAAAAGTAAAAAATGTTTAAAAATATTGAAATTATTAATACAGTCAGAATAATTTGCTTTTTTTAATTTATTTATTTTAAAATAGAGGTGAAGGAGGATTCACTCACTTATCAAAGTCAGTGAAGAGATTCACGCGAAACGTGTGTTGCTTGTCAAGTTTGTAGCCATCGGCTCCCTTCACGGCTTCCTGCGCTTGAGTTGGCAAAGAGTACTCAAGAAAAATATACCTAACAAAACAAAAATACCCAATTCAACATATGCATGGTTATGGTAGAATGCCTCTTTAAAGAAAGAAAAAGGATGTCAGTAGTGTAACAAACAGAAAAAATAAATAAATCACGTAAAGCAACATATCTTACCCCTTAGTAAGCCCATCACTATCGGGATAGAATTCATTTGTAATTTTCCCAAACTTGGAAAAGATCTTATTGATGACATTCTTGAGTTTCTCCAAGCGATCAGGACCAACCTGCGGTACATTATCCACCACGACTACAGAGTCTATGCCATCGGTTTCTTGTGGGCGCTCGGCCACAACATCAGAAAGCAGCTCTGGGAAAAAAAGAGGGGTTAGGACACATTAATATACCAGTTCAAGGAAGGAACCAAAAAACAAAACAAAAAAAAAAACCTTGCCAAGTCACCATGGAATACACATCTCATTTTCTGAAATTACCACTGAAGATTTTAATAGACAATGTTGGTATCTAATACTTTGTACAGACACCTGGAAGCAATGCACAGAGCTCAGGGGCTGACAATTCCTTGTAGTGTTTAGAAACCAGGCAGAGTTAAAAGCGTGCATTATCAAAGAAAAACTTTGATACAAAAATAGATATGTGTCATTCTTACGGTACCAACCCACACTTTACACTAGTGCAGTGGTAGGCAACTGGAGACTACATCTCCCATAATGCTCTTATAGTTGTAATGCTGACAAAGCATCGGGGATATGCAGTCCACAACATCTGGAGTGCTGAAGAATGCCCTGCCTTAGATTTAACTAGCTGAATTGGTCCATGCCTCATCTGCACTCACTTGATTCACACTATCACCACGCGTCTCCTCTGTCCAAACCACAGAAGCTATCAGAAACCAGTCATCACTTATTCACCCCAAAGGCAACCAACATTACACAGATCACATTATCACTTAATGCACAGTAGCCATCAGCCAATGAGATGGACCTGCATTATAGGGCTTAGCTCAGAAGAGATTATGTGAAAACCAAAATAGAAGCTTCTGGCCAGCTCTCTTGGAAACTGAAGAGAGGTGGAACGTAGCTCCCTGTGGATCCCAGGTAAGAAGCCAAACTGTTCTCAAATAATTTGACTACTTACACCGGGGGGAGGCGCCATAACCACTACAGACCACTATTTGGAAGAGTCCAGTAAGGAAAATGCATACCACTGGGCTGTACAATAAGTAAACAAAGCAGCCAGTGTTACACAAATGGCATGTCACCATAATGGTGCATGCTTTAACTCTTCAAAAAGGTATAATCTAAGAACCAAAGCAACACTAGCACAATAAAGCAATTTTGATGTATACATCATGCTCTTCCAATCTCACTGCTCAGTTCTCTGATAACAGACTTCTCGCTTGCTTTATGCAGTCCTAACCACAACCCCCTATGCCTGTAACTCACAACCTCCCTACACATGCTGCTCTGTAGTGATTATGGTACTTCCAGTGCAACTTTAAAAATCACACAAAAAGTCACTAACATGAATATGAAAAATACAATTTTTTTTATAGGGCTATGGAAAATATGTATCCATTGACTTTCTGGGGAAACACTCAATATTCAGTTCCTGGTATTTTGTTAGCAGCCAGATTTCTTTCTTGTGGGGTCTGCAAGCCCTTGTCATTGTGTAATAATAACCATATGATTATTCACTATTGTGATCGTCACACCTAATTACAGCTGCTACTACATGTGGGTGGTGCTCTATGAACTACACCTAGGCCTAAGCCACTCATTCACAGCCTGAGACTCTCCTATAGCATAGCCCCAGCATGCTGCAACATCTCAAAAGCATGCAGAACTGCAAATCCCTTTGTGTTTTGTAATCATTAAAGCTGGCTGGGCATCTTAGGAGTTGCAGTTCTACAACAGCTAGGCGCCTGTATTTCAGGACACCCCTGCTCAGGCACTCCAGGCTTTCAAACAGTGCTGATTGTAGTCCTTCCAATTCTTATATCAGCCATTAGAGGCCTCATGTTTCCCAGGGGCCCAGAGAGGGCCCCAACCATCTCCTACAGGGCTACAACGCCCATTAATAGAAAATACACATTTTTAAAAAGCGTGATGAGAGTTAATCCAATAAACTCCAACTAGCCATCAGAGGCCTAACATGAGCCCAGAGCTGGGAATGGCTCTCAGCAGAACTCCAATCCCCAGTATGATGGGAGTTATAGTCCAAGATCCCCCCCCCCCTTTCGGTACCCATTACCTCAACTTCCCCCAATAGGACTCCAATCCCCATTATCCTCCAGGGTAATGGGCACCGAAAAAGGGGGTCTTGGACTATAACTCCCATTACCCCCAGCAGGACTCCAACCCCTATTATCCTCCAGCATGATGGGAGTTATAGTCCAAGACCCCCCTTTTCCGGTACCCATTCTCCCAACTCCGAACAGCAGGACTTCAATCCCCATTATCCTCCAGCATGATGGGAGTTATAGTCCAAGCCCCCCCTTATCCGGTACCCATTCCCCCCCTGTCCCCTCAGCCCTGCTCCCCCACGCTCACCCTCATCATCCACATCATCCACGAAGTCCTCCGGGTCGCTGAAGGAGATGTCCTCCTCTGTGGCCTCCTCGTCCAGCTCCAGCTCGCCGTCGGCCACCATGTTGTCGGTGTCCTGCATGCCCGGGCTCGGCTCCGGCCGCCTCTAGGCTGCTGTGGGTGGGTGTGCGTGTGATCCTGGGGGCACGGTCCGAGGTTGGAGTAGCCAGCTCTGCTCACAGCCCGACACGGAGTGCAGCTCGAGGCTCGGGCGCTCTAACAGGCCATGTGCATGGAACCGGCGGCTGGCGGAAAAGGAGCGAACCACCTCCGCCCGGGGGGGAGCTCACACCTTCAGCTCGGCCTCTCTAACTCCCAGCGCTTCACAGCAGCCGCCACACAGTAACAATGTCCATACAATAATAACCCCACGCACGGCGCGCGGACCATGAGTTCATATATTATCATGGGTATAGGCATGTGTGCATGAGTGAGACACCCCCCCCCCCCGGGAGATAATGGATTGAACCAACATGGAGGAAGTTCCCCCTTCCATTTTGCTGAGTGTTAGAGTAGACTTTATCTCCTTAAAGGGGCAGTGTCTGGGTTTTAATGTTAAAAAAAAATAAAATAAAATATGTTAAAGTTGGTGTGTTTGACCCCCATCTGTGTAAATTATTGTGCACGTCTACATTACTCATAGTCTAACATGGGAGACCTTAAATATTTAAAAAAAAATGTAATATTATAATATTTCTTAATATTTCTTTATTTTAATTTTATTTTTTTTAAACTAGGATATTCGGTTTTATTTGTTAATGTTGCTAAACCGTTCACGCTTCATTTGTAGAAAAATAAAATCTGAAATGGCGAAGTTGAGGCTAAAATAGTTAATCTGGGAAACATAGAAACATAGAATGTGATGGCAGATAAGAACCATTTGGCCCATCTAGTCTGCCCAATTTTCTAAATACTGTCATTAGTCCCTGGCCTTATCTTATAGTTAGGATAGCCTTATGCCTATCCCATGCATGCTTGAACTCCTTTACTCTGCGATAGTCACGGAATTGCTACTTCAGCACCAGTTTCACAATTTGCAATTTAATACATTACAAATCCCCAAAATATTCACTACAAGTTAGTGTAAATGTTACACCTTGGGCATCGTAACCACTACGTCTCTTTAAATTGGTTTTGATGGCAAGAGGACTCTGGTGACGTCCCTTGGTTTTCTGTTTAACCGTTTCGGTATGATTTAACAGCAAACTAGGATCCCTGGCCACCCGTGGCTAATACCCGCACTGTTTTGGCTAACACTTCCCTGTGAACATAAGTGGAAATGATGGGCAGCAATAGACTGAGCGCTCTATATGAACTCTAATTGCTTTTACAAATCGGTATGGCCGACACACACTGCCACAATCTTATGCACACACACAGATGTCATTACACAATGCCAGACACGAACAGCCAGGCACACTGTCATACACACAATGTGACTGTGTGTCTGCTAGTGTGTGTGTGTATGTGTGTCAAGTGGCAACATGGCTGTAATCTGAGGGTAATGTGGCCACATATACAATATAAATAGAGACAATAAATACATATGGGACAATAAATCTGGAGAATGCATTGGGGATAATGTGAGAGAATTATAGAATTTTGGGGGGGAAATGTAAATGTTACATATTCAGAAACAATATCTTTGTACGTTATATTAGCTTTGCAACAGCTTATAGTCCACCACAAACACAATTAGAGAAAGTAATCATTTTTCTTACGTATACATAAAAGAAAAAAATCTAGTAAAGTATTAAAAAAAAAAGTAAAAACTGGGGGATAATTTTAAAAAAACAACCCGTTGAAAGAATGCCGCTACGCCTCTTATTTCACATTGCAGTCACTGAAGCGACTCCTTCTTGGCTGTGTACAGGTACATCCTGTCTTGTTTCTGATAGTAGATTCTCAAGCGTATTCACTCAAGTATGAATTGTCAGGAATTGTCACGAGACCTCCAGGGAGCCACAGAGCCCAGCTGGGACTGAGATCAGAATACAAATCATTGCTAAATGGTTTACTGGTTTACCAGGTAATTAGGCCACGGTACTCCAGATATCATAACCACTACAGCGAGCCAGGGCCAGACTGGGAAAAAAATTTGGCCCGGGCATTTTTCAATCAAAGCGGCCCCCTGAGAAGGCGGCAGGGCCAGAGAGGGTGTGTTTTGTCATCACTAATGACAAGCACGCCCCCTCTCAAAGTGAGCATGTTGGTTCAATGCGCAGAGCTCTGCTCAAGAGCTCTAACATGAGAAAAAGGCCCTGTATTTGTTCTGCGAAGCGCAAGCAACTTTAATAACATGCTTGCGCTGTGTTTGCTTTTAACATGTCTCTGGTGTCTCCATAAGTGGGATAGCAGAGGACAAAAGGGCCAGGAAAGCGTATGGTGCATGTGTTTGGAGCCTGCTTGTGGGATTGGGTGTGTGTAGAGTGTGGTGTGGTATTGTGTAAATAGGTCAATTTAATTTGTGTTTGTGGTGTAACGTGTGGCTAGGGGCTGTAGAGAGTGTGTGTATAGGGGGCATAGTGTTATAGGGGATGTAGCGAGTGTATGCATACGGGCTGTAGCGTGTGTGTGTATGTAGGGGTTGTAGAGAGGGTGTGTTTAGAGAATGTTGTATGTGTTTGCTTACAAGGAATGTAGTGTGTGTAGGTGGTGCAGTGTGTGTGTGTGTGTAGGAGATCTAGTGTGTAAAGGACCCAGAGTGTGTATAGGAGATTGTATGTGTGTGTAGAGGATTAAGAGTGCATATAGGGTAAGGGATCTAGCATGTATCTGGAGCATAATGTGTGTAGTGGTGCAGTGTGAGGGGTGCTGTAGTGTGTATATATATATATGGACGTATTGTATATGTGAGGGGCGCAGTGTGTGTGTGTGAGGGGTGCAGTGTGTGTAAGAGGGGTGCTGTGTGTGAGGGTGTTTTTATCTGCCGTCACATTCTATGTTTCTAATTTTCTTTTTCTGTTAACTCACTGAGGGTTATTTTATATATTATATATATGTGTGTGTGTGCTGTATATGTGTGGGAGTGTGCTGTGTGTGTAAGGGTGCTGTGTGAGTGAGGGTGCTGTGAGTCTGAGGGTGCTGTGTGCGTCTGAGGGTGCTGTGTGTGTGTCTGGGTGCTTTGTGTGTCTGAGGGTACTGTGTGTGTCTGTGGGTGCTGTGTGTGTCTGGGGGTGCTGTTTGTGTAAGGGTGCTGTGTGAGTGAGGGTGCTGTGTGTCTGAGGGTGCTGTCTGTCTGAGGGTGCTGTGTGTGTCTGGGTGCTGTGTGTGTCTTAGGGTGCTGTGTGTGTGTCTGTCTGGTGCTGTGTGTGTCTGGGTGCTGTATGTGGGTGCTGTGTGTGTCTGAGGGTGCTGTGTGTGTCTGAGGGTGCTGTGTGTGTCTGGGTGCTGTGTGTGTCTGAGGGTGCTGTGTGTGTCTGGGGGTGCTGTGTGTGTTTAGGGGTTTTTTGGGTGTCTGAGGGTGCTGTGTGTGTCTGGGTGCTGTGTGTGTGAGGGGGCTGTTAGTATGAGTGTGAATTAATTTTTTATCTAGATTTATATATTTTTTTATTAATAAAAAAAAAAAAAGTTATATCCCTGCTCCCTTCTTACCTTTAGCCTGGGACGGGGGGGAAGCCATGCTGCCTTCCTTGGTGGTCCTAGCTCAGACCTCGCGAGAGGAACCCGGTGGAGCTGCTGGCTAGAGCCCCCCGGGTCCTCTCCTCCCTCCCTTCCTCGCCAGCCGGCATAGCAGTGCCTATGGGCCGGTGTGGGAGATCTTTGATCTCCCCACCGGCCCATGAAGGCATACAGCAGGGCCGGCGCTCGGGTAGCGCTGGCCCTGCAGGGGAGATCCTGTGAACTCCCCTGCCGGCCTCGGCCCACGGCCATCGCGGCCCACCCGATGGCCAGTCTGGGCCTGCAGTGAGCTGTAGTGGTTATGATGATGATTAATTTTGAATTCACTTTTAATTCCTGACAATTTTCTCTTTAGTAAATAATGCTGTCAAAGGTTCATTTTGTTTATGCAATCCAGGAGTGGAATCAGCACCCATACACTCAATTTTGGGTGGAGTGTGGTGTTAAAGGGACAGTATAGGCATTCAGACTACTTCATCTTATTCATGTGGTCTGAGCGAAGTGTCCCTGTCCCCTTAATCCAGCTATGTAAACTGCAATGTTTACATTGCATGGTTAAGACAGCCTCTTGCAGACAGCCACTAAAGGGGCTGTGGGGGGGCTGGGGAGGGTCTAACGAAATAGACAAGTGGATACTACGGCATGAAGAATACAGTTTTGTATTCCTAATGCTACAGTGTTACTTTCATTTTACAAGTTTGATTGGGTTATTCACTAAAGTTTTGATTCTTGAGAATTCCAAATGAATGTTAAATTTTAGACCAAAATAGTCCAACTTGACTCTATTTATGTTTTTGGTTTTTTTAGATTTTGCAGCCCTATCCCATTTGTGTTTTGCTTGTATCTTGGTTTAAAAAATCACTACCTGGGAAGTGATCCTTGGGAGGCTGCTCACCTGAATTATTTGATAAGTATATTACATCCTTATTTCACACTATTCACTATATCATTGTGGTGATAGTATTGTTTTTGGCCCAGCAATAACCATGATTTCTTATTTGCCATGGCACACTCATCAGAGGGGTATTTCTATTCGTTAGGGCTAAATTTTCATTCGCCAATGGCTAGTAGCGAGTGGAAATATTTAGCTGTGATCTAGTGATCTGTGATCTAGTGTACAATCAAGACAACCCACGTTTTAAAGGCTAAATATTATCAAACTGAAATCACCAAACCTGGCCCTGAATTTTCTTGCTCAAAGAAATTCAGAAGAATTTGATATTGTTGATAAATAACCAGATTGCTCCAATTCTCTGGAAAATTTATTTTATTTTGCTTCATACCCAAATTATCTCGCTTTAAATAATAACATTTAGGACAATAGTCAATCCTTACATTTTGGGGTTTATTGACTAAACACTGAATTTTAGTGTCTTGAAATGCAAATTGCAAATTTAGGTAAAAATTTTTTTGATTTGGGCAAATTCTTCAACTCTGCTTTACTACTTTTAACTAGAGTTGAGCGAACGTTCGGGTTCGTACCGAACATTACGATTTTTGGACCCCGAACCAGAACCCAGACATTTCAGTAACAGTTCGGGTTCGAGTTCGGTGTTTGGCGATTTAATGGCGCATTTTAAAAAGCTGCAGGGCAGCCAATCAACAAGCGTTTGACTCGTGTGCCCTTAGAAGCCATCACAGCCATGCCTACTAATGGCATGGCTATGATTGGCCAGTGTAGCATGTGACCCAGCCTCTATATAAGCAGGAGTCACATGAGCTCTTATTAGTGTAGGGAGAGGATGCTGCAGCTGGGAGGGACAGATTAGGAAAGAATTCTGGTGTTGAATCTGCAAATTACAGCGATTATTTTTGTGGGTGCTATACTACATTTTTGTACCCTGCCCTGAGCCCAGTGCCACAGAGAAATAAGCAATCAGTCTGTTTGTTAGGTGGGCACTTGCAACTGCATGTGTGCCAGGCACATTACTTTAATCCTGTTCTAGTAGCTCAGTGGGCAACATCTAGGCATTTTTAAATACTGCTGTGACATTGCAGTTTGGGGTATTGAAAAGTACATTTGGGGCGTGCACTTTATATCTGAGAGTCAACTAGAACCGTCAAATACTGCTGTGACATTGCAGTTTGACTAATTCACATTTTTTTGGGAGCTAAAAAGTAAATTTGGGGCGTGCACTTCATATCTGAGAGTGAAAAAGAAACGTCAAATACTGTGGTTACATCGCATTTTGAAAAATTCACATTTTTTTGGTGCTAAAAAGTAAATTTGGGGCGTGAACTTCATATCTGAGAGTCAAATAGAACCGTCAAATACTGTGGTTACATCGCACTTTGAAAAATTCACATTTCTTTGGTGCTAATTTGGGGCGTGCACTGCGTATCTGAGAGTCAAATAGAACCGTCAAATGCTGTGGTTACATCGCACTTTGAAAAATCCAAATTTCTTTGGTGCTTAAAAGTAAATTTGGGGCGTGCATTTCATATCGGAGAGTCAAATAGAACCGTCAAATACTGTGGATACATCGCACTTTGAAAAATTCAAATTTTTTGGGTGCTAAATAGTACATTTGCGGCCTACGGTGCATTTCTTGCAGTCCAATAAAACCGTTAAATACTGCTGTTACATTGTTGGTTTAAAAAAATCACACTTTTTTGTGCTAAATAGAACATTTGCGGCCTGCGGTGCATTTCTTGCAGTCCAATAAAACCTTTAAGTACGACTCTTACATTGTTGGTTTAAAAAAATCACACTTTTTTGTGCTAAATAGAACATTTGCGGCCTGCAGTGCATTTCTTGCAGTCCAATAAAACCCTTAAATACTACTCTTACATTGTTGGTTTAAAAAAAATCACACTTTTTTGAGACAGTGAAGTAACTGTATTAATTACGCCTGTCACACTGTTGTGTGACCTCTAGAAATGTTTTCTCTTTAGGACACCGGCACTGTCTTACTGTCAGTGAACTTAATTGTTGACTATTGGCGGTTACATTGTCGCCTGACATAAACCATCTGTTAGTTTGGTGGGTGAACGCAAGGAATGAGGAGAGCGTCAAATAAGGGACGTGGCCCTGGTCGTGGTGATGCTGGTGTTGGTGGATTTTCTCCTGCAGGGAGAGGACGTGGTCGATCTGTGCCAGCTACATGCACAAGTGAAACACCTTCCTCAGATGCGAGTAGGCGACAGAACCTTCAGCGTTATTTAGTAGGCCTGAATGCCGCTCTACGAATGGTGAGGCCAGAACAAGTACAGGCGATAGTAGATTGGGTGGCTGACAGTGCCTCCAGTTTCTTCACATTGTCTCCCACCCGGTCCCCTGCTGAAAGCTCAGAGTTGGCACCTGCAGCCCATGGCCATCTGTCTTTCACCTCACCCCCTTGCAAATCAGCCAAGCAGTCTGAGCCACAAGTCATGCAGCAGTCTCTTATGCTTTTTAATGACTCTGCTGGCGGGGTTTCCATGGGCCATCCACCTAGCCCTGCCCCAGAAGTGGAAGAGATTGAGTGCACTGATGCACAACCACTTATGTTTCAGGATGTAGACAAGCGAGGACCACCGCAGCACGTCTCTGATAATGTCGAAACACAGGTGCCAACTGCTGTGGCTTTCTGCAGTGTAATCAAGGAATCAAGGTCATGCGAGTGACGTGTGCAGTTTGGAGGAAGGGGCGGTGGTCGCACAGAGGCACCAGCACAGCATAAGAGGGAGCAGGGTGCAAAAGCGGAGCGGCCGTCCCCTAGACAGAATGCTTGCTACTGCCCACCGCACCCAGCTCCAAGGAGTTCCCTGGCATGGCAGTTCTTCAGACAATGTGCTGACGACAAGACACGAGTGGTTTGCACGCTGTGCAACCAAAGCCTGAAGCGAGGTATAAACGTTATAAACCTGAGCACAACCTGCATGACCAGGCATCTACATGCAAAGCACGAGCTGCAGTGGAGTAAGCACCTCAAAAACCAAGAAAGGTCTCAGGCTCCTCCTGCTTCCTCTTCTGCTGCTGTCTCAGGCTCTTCCTCCACCTCTGGAGTGACAGTGGCACCTGCCACCCCAAAAACAGAGAATGTGGCAGCAACGCCACCACGTCCGCCACCGTCCCCAAGCATCTCCACACTGTCCCATGGAAGCGTTCAGCTGTCCATCTCCCAAACACTGGAGAGAAAGAGGAAGTACCCCCCTACCCACCCGCGATCCCTGGCCCTGAATGCCAGCATATCAAAATTCCTGGCCTTTGAAATGCTGTCATTCCGTCTGCAGGAGACAGACAGTTTTAAAAACCTGATGGCGGTGGCTGTCCCACAGTACGTGGTTCCCAGCTGCCACTATTTTTCCAGGCGAGCCATCCCTTCCGTGCACAACCAATTGGCGGCCAAAATCAGGTGTGCACTGCGCAACGCCATCTGTGGCAAGGTCCACATAACCACTGATACGTGGACCAGTAAGCACAGGCAGGGACGCTATATCTCCCTAACTGCACACTGGGCAGATGTAGTGGCGGCTGGGCCTGAGGCGGATAGTAGTTTGGCGCATGTCCTTCCGCCACTGAGGATTGCAGGGCATTTCTCTTTGCCTCCTGTTGCCTCCTCCTCCTACTTCGCTTCCTCCTCCTCTACCACCTCCTCATCCGGGCAGCGTAACACATTAACCACCAACTTCAGCACAGTCAGGGGGAAACGACAGCAGGCTGTTTTAAAACCCATATGTTTGGGGGGAAAAACCCACACCGCGCAGGAGCTGTGGACGGGAAATGGAACAACAGACCGATGAGTGGTTGTTGCCACTGAGTATCAAACCCGGCCGGTGGTGTGCGATAATGGCATAGCAGCTCTGGGCCTAGCCGGTTTGACGCACATCCCTTGCCTGGCGCATGTGCTAAATTTGGTGGTGCAGAAATTCCTGAAAAACTACCCAGATATATCAGAGCTGCTGCAGAAAGTGCGGGCCGTCTGTGCGCGCTTTCGGCGTTCTCACTCTGCTGCTGCTTGCCTGTCTGCCATGCAGCGTAACATCGGCCTTCCCGCTCGCCGCCTCATATGCGATGTGCCCACAAGGTGGAACTTCACCTTGCACATGCTGGAGAGACTGTGTGAGCAGCAGCAGGCGATAGTGGAGTTTCAGCTGCAGCACGCACGGGTCAGTCGCTCTGCACCAGACTTGCCCTCTAATAGATCCTCGTTAAAGGATTTAAAGTGCACTCATATCAATTACAGGGCCTCGAAAGAGTCCTGTATTGTTATTTTTCGTCACTACCTCCCCGCGTCGGGAGTGGGTAACTTGCGCGCCTGCTGCCTTCCTTGGATGTGGTAGCCATTTCTCAGGCTCCCTCTCCGGAATCGAACCCTGATTCCCTGTTACCCGTGGTCACCATGGTAGGCGCAGAAAGTACCATCGAAAGTTGATAGGGCAGACATTCAAATGCGTCATCGCTGTCACGGGGACGTGCGATCGGCCCGAGGTTATCTAGAGTCATCAAAGTGCCTGCGCAACGACTGCCGTGTTGCCCACATTCTAACTTGTGCTGATTACTGGGTGGCCACCCTGCTGGATCCCTGTTACAAGGACAACATGTCCTTAATTCCCTCACTGGAGCGTGATTGGAAGATGCACGACTACAAGCGCACGCTGGTAGACGCGCTGCTGAGGGCATTCCCAACTGACACCGGGGGCTCAGTGGAAACACAAGGCGAAGGCAGAGGAGGAGGAAGAGGTCGCCAATGCAGCTGGGGCACCGCCAGCACCTCACAAGGCAGGGTTAGCATGGCCGAAATGTGGAAAAGCTTTGTCAGCGCGCCACAACAACTAGCACCACCAGCTGATATGGAACGTCTTAGCAGGAGGCAGCATTTCAGCAACATGGTGGAACAGTACGTGTGCACACGCCTACACGTACTGACTGATGGGTCTGCCCCATTCAACTTCTGGATCTCCAAATATGGGCACATAGCCTGAGCTTGCCCTTTATGCCTTGGAGGTGCTGGCCTGCCCTGCAGCCAGTGTATTGTCTGAACGTGTGTTTAGCACGGCAGGGGGCGTTATCACAGACAAGCGCAGCCACCTGTCCACAGCCAACGTGGACAAGCTCACGTTTATTAAAATGAACCAGGCATGGATCCCACCAGACTTGTCTGTACCTTGTGCAGAATACACATTTATATCGGCCTCACCCAGCCATTGTTATACTCAAGTGCACTTATTCTTTGTTTTCTTTTTTTATATGTCCCAATATTTTGGCGGCTACCCCAATTGTTTAAAGGGCACTTGTCCTAATCTTACCCCCCCCATTTTACTTCCTTTTGCAGCCCTCTAGCCCTTTCCAGGACTTTTTTAGAGCCATTTTAGTGCCCAAAAGTTCGGGGTCAAGTTCGAGGCCGAACTCGAACCTTTTGCCGATGTTCGGCCGAACCCGGCAAACCCGAACATCCAGGTGTCCGCTCAACTCTACTTTTAACTTAACTATTCAGTTTTTCTGTTCACTGTATTACAGTGTTTCATGAATAAAATCAATTGACGTAAGTTAATATTAAGATGAAGTTTTTAATTATTGTCAGTGTTTACATAGGAATTCTACAATTAATTTGCAAACGAGGAGCTTGTTAAGTAACCATTTCTGACTGTCATCCGTGTTTCAAAATAAAGTAGCAACTATCCGAAAATTGATTTTTTTTTTTCGCATGACTTTTGTTTGCCCAAGATAAGGGAAAGAAAAACCTAAAAATCGGTAATCAACCCTTTCAGAAGTTACTATCACTGTGCACCAATTACATTAACAAAAACCTGACTTGCCAGACTAGTTGATATTAAAGCGGCACTGTCATGCCGAATTCTGTTTTTTTTTTAACCCCCCTCCCGCCTCCACTACATCCAATTGACCCACTAGTCACCCCCAAATGCCCCTAAGCCCCCCACATTACCTATTTTTAAATCCTTATTTTCTGCCCCGATCTATATCCAGGGCGCCGCCATCTTTGTGTGGGTAGGTGAAGTCCCTGTGGGACACGTCATCAGCCCACACTAGGCAGACTGTGAGATTCCCGCACATGCCCAGTGAAACACCTGGACATGCGAACGGGAATTTCAGCTATTCATTCATTCATCAGACAGACGAATGAGTGAATAGAAAGATCAGCCGAACAAACTAACACAATGTATCAGTGTTAGTTTGTTCGTGCAGGTTAACAAGGAGGGAGCTACCGGCGCAGCTCCCTCCTTGTAATATGTAACTATAGAAGCGGCAGGGAGCAGTGCTCCCCACCACTTCATAAGCCCCCCCAGGTCCCCCTCTCACTCTATGGGGGTCAATATGACCCCCATAATAGCACAAGGGAGATTAAAATCTCCCAAATGCCCCTACTCGCTATACCGCGAGTAGGGGCATGTCCACTAAACAGTGAGCAGCCTGTGGCTGCTCACTGTAAAAAAAAAACACAAAAAAAACAACTATTGGCCCCCACCCCTAAACAGTGAGAATGAGGGGGGGGGCAGTACTCCCCCCACCCCTGGGCGGCGGGTGGGGGCCATAATGAGAATGGGGGGGGGACAGGCTGCTCACTGTTTACCAGACATGCCCCTACTCGCGGTATAGCGAGTAGGGGCATTTAATTTACTAATACTAAGTAATCTTTACTTAGTATTAGTAAAGTTGGCTGTTAGACCAATTTAGGTCTTTCAGCCTTTTAGTAGATAACTCCCTGATACCGTGGGAATTAGGGAGTTATCTACTAAGCGGCTGCAAAATGCAGCCACAGCAATGAATAGGATCAGAGTTTCATTCATTAGAATGAAATTCCGATCCGAATAAAGTGCCGAATTGCGTTCTAAAAGAAACGAACAGACTGTTCTCATTCAGTTAGAACGCAATTCGGCAGTTTCATGTAAAGTGACAGGAAGCATTGTGGGAACACTGAGGAAAGCTAGGGATCATGGGAAAATTGCTCTGACCAGCGGAAATGAAGCACACTTTGCTCCTCCGCTGGTCAGAGCTGGTCAAGCGGAGGAATCCTCCATAAGGCAAAGAGTCCCTACTTTGTCTTATGATTTTAAAGAAAACTAAAGAAGACAGGAAGAAAAGAATAACAGATCCTGAGAGGGGGGGAGAAGAGGAAGAGATTGAGGAAAGGTAAGTTCGGCATGACAGTGCCGCTTTAAGTGGTAGTCCCCTTGCCATCAATCTTCTTTTTTATTGTTTGGAATTTGGCCAAACAGTCCATGAGCTCACATTCGACAGAATCCGAATGCACAAGTCTAGTAAACACTGACTTTTCTCATAAAAGGCAGCATTTACACTGCTCAGCCTGTAGGGATAGGCTCTTTGCCCCAGAACCACTACTTTAAGCTCTAGCAGATTTGTTGCCTACAGTGTCCCTTTAAAATCATTGCCACTCTGTTGGGGTAAGGGATGTCAGATTCACTGTATTATTCAGACATAACTTCCAACATTGGCAGGATTGTAATCGGGCCGAGTGGGCAAGCATTCTAGGACTTGTCACCACTGACACAACCTGCGTCAATAGTAACACCCAAAATGGGCATGTCTGCCCACTACAGGGAGTGTATGCCTGGTGTCAAGCATGCCAAACAGCCTCTCTGCTAGCCCTCTACATGGAGGACCATGCAGAGAGCACTGTTGAGGCACAGTCTGAATTGTCTGACTGCATACTGTTGGGGACCATCGGGGTTCTTTCTGCACTCAAAAGGTATGGAAAACAAGGAAACAGGAGGGTGGTTAAAAGTATGGAAATAATGACTTATGTATTATCAGTGTGTATATGTGTTAGTATGTGTGTGTATGTCTATCTGTGCCACTATATGTGTGTATCTGTCAGTGTGTTTGTGTATTTGTGTGAGTATGTGTGTATGTCTGTGTGCATTCTCACCTAATGGACTTTGTTTGTATGCATTTATATTTTAACTGTATCCCCGAGGAAGTCCACAGCGGTGGAGGAAAAGCATTGGACATATTTTAAAAGTTTTATTTTGTGACATTTGTTGTTGTAGGCTATTGCACATAACAATTTACAGGTACTTTAAAGTGCAGCAGAGAGTATTCCATTGATTTCTCAGCTCTGGGCCACATCACTGGTAGGAGACCAAAAAGTCCCCATGCCTAAAGCAAGGGAGGCACCACAAGACGCCAAACTTTCATATTTTCTGTGAGTGCATTTCCAGAGCGCAGATTTTATTATATTTTGCTGTACTTGCCTATGTATGGTTTATTTTATCCATCTGTCGAAGCAGAGCTGAATCCCACATACTGTGTATACTTTGCTGTCTAAGAGAGGTGATAATTGGAAAAAAAAACACTTGGGAAGCTGCATCTTTTGAATTAAGTTAAAGGAACACCATAGTGTCAGGAATACAAATGTGTATTCCTGACACTATAGCTCTAATATTGTAAAGTGCTGCAGAATTAGTTGGCGCTATATAAATACCAATAATAATAATAAAAATGCTGTCCCACCTCCGTTACCTCTAGTTAAAAGGGTAATTAACTCACCTTTTTCAAGCTCCGCGCGGGTCCAGGCTGGCCCGCTCACCCTCTGCCTCCTTGGCTAAGATCATCAAACTTAATGATCTCAGCTAATCCAATGCTATTGCGCAAGTGCACCAAATGCAATCGGCATCTCTATGAGGAAAGTTCAGCTCCTCCATGCAGAGCGTGAAGACGCTGAATGTCAGTGCTGCATGTTGTAAGTGTGACTGAGTCTGGAGAGTGGGCAGTGGAGGTGTCCCTAGGCACTTTATCTATGTTTACATTAAAAAACCAGCAGGGACAAACAAAAGACACGTAAACCACTACATTAAGCTGTAGTTGTTCTGGTGGCTATAGTGTCCCTTTAAGTACCCGTGTGCATTTAAATACACTCTGAATTTAGTTTTTACAATGTAAATGTATCTCTGTGCCACTATGTGTGTATGTGTCAGTCTGTGTCTATCTGTGTATGTGTGTGTGTGTCAGTCTGTCACTGTGTGTGTCACTATGTGTGTATGTGTCACTATGTGTGTTTGTGTCATTCTGTCACTGTGTGTATGTGTCAGTCTGTCACTGTGTGTGTATGTGTCAGTCTGTGTCACTATGTGTGTGTATGTGTCACTATGTGTGTATGTGTCAGTCTGTCACTGTGTGTGTATGTGTCAGTCTGAGTCACTATGTGTGTGTGTGTCAGTCTGTGTCACTATGTGTGTATGTGTCAGTCTGTGTCACTGTGTGTATGTGTCAGTCTGTGTCACTGTGTGTGTGTGTCAGTCTGTGTCACTGTGTGTGTGTGTGTCAGTCTGTGTCACTGTGTGTGTGTGTGTG